AATTTATATTTATATATATGATTTTTTTTAATAGTTTATTTTCTGTAGAAATCAAAGAAGAATTTATGGCACGATACAACATAACAAGTATATTGTATTACAGTGCCAAAATGCGTCTTCATGTATTTAAATCCGATGTTACCGGATCAAATTTCTTTAATTAATATCTAACATACGACTTATTTACGATAGTTAATTTATTTTACACATAATCATGAATAATTCTGCATAAAATTTTAATGTATATAAAAGAAAGAAAAAAAGAAAAGAATTTTGTTTAAGAAATTAAAAGAGAACAAAAAGTAGAGTAAAGAAAAATAGAGAAAGAGAGAGATAGAGAGAGAGAGAGAGAGAGAGAGAAAGAAAGAAAGAAAGAATGAAAAAGAAAATACTGTCTTAAAGCAAATCATTCAATAAACATCATACGTTTAATGTTTTATCTCTTCCTATCGTTCGATCCACTGCGTCGAGATCGAGATCGACGGCTACGACTGCCACTTCGCGAACGTTTCGATCTAAAACAGTTTAAGAAACAAAAAAAGAAACAGGAGGAAAAAGAAAGAATGTTATCTTCGTTTGATTTTTATAATAGGAGAGAAGAATGAAGAAAAAAAAAATGGAATTTTACTTAGATACCAACCTCTTCCCCCGACTACGACTTCGAGATCGTGACTTCCTTCTGTCTCTATCTCTATCTCTGCGATCGCGTTCACGTTCACGTTCACGTTCACGGTCGCGATCGCGATCACGATCTCGTTCACGGTCTCGATCTCGGTCACGATCGCGATCGCGATCACGGTCGCGTTCACGATCGCGATCACGGTCTCGATCACGATCACGTTGTTCACGGTCGCGATCTCGATCACGATCACGATCCCTTTCCTTATATCCCAAACCACGTCCCCTATCCGATCTATCACGATCTTTATCACGATCTTCTCTATCTCTATCCCGTCGTCTGTCTAACAAAGAGTCACGTTTTTCCTTACGCCTCTCCTCAAATGTCTTTTGAAGTTCTGCCAGTTTTTCTCTGATTTTAATAAATCCAAGATGTAGTTTTCCGCCAAAATGATCAGCCAATCTTCTGTCGTTATCGTGGATGCCAAGGTACGCGCTACACACTTCACAAACTCTTAACTTCTGCTGCTGGTAACTCGAAGCTGGCATACTATTTCGATATTCTTGCTCAGCTTCGTTCTTTTTTTTACGAAGTTCGTCGATCTCACCCATCAGCTTCATAGATTCCTCGACAAAACCTTCTTCCCCTAGTTGTTCAGCCTTAGCTAATTTCTTACCAATCTCTTCGGCAAGAATATGTACGTTGTTTGCCTTTGCTGCAACCTCTGCACTTAACTCTTCTTGCGTTTCTGCCAAACGTTGCTTCGCTTGTTCCGTGCGTCGATCACAGTCAGCAATAAAATTTTGTAGATGTTCCATCGCCTAATTGCATTGTTTAAGAAAAATTTATTATTTATAATATATGTGATATGTTTTGTTTGTTTATTTAGAGTAATCAGATAAGAGAATACTTACATCAATATCATAAAAATGATCTTTCTTCTTTTGAGCAGCTTCATAGTCAGCCCGTAGGGCCAAGTCGTGAATCTGGGGGCATTCTCCCAGGTCCATGCGCTGCGATTTACAAATTAATTCATATTAAATTATTATATCCTCCTTACAAAGTAATAATTTTTGCTTGTATGTATGTATATATATATATTAATATACATACACATAGTCAAAGACCCTTTGCGAGACTTCATTTAAGAAATCTTATTTGACAAGAGCAAAGTTGTTGGGCTGCTCTGCATTTCATGTGAAATTATAGTTTGAGTTTATTATTAGAGATAAATAGTTCATTATCCAAACATTCGGATAAAATGTAAAATCCCCCAAAGAGATAAAACCTAGACAAAGTATTCATATTTCGCTTCTAATATTAAACATATCGCCTTACTCATGATTCCTTTGGTACAGAATCAATATTTGATGTTAATACTCAATTTTCATGAGTACTATACAAAATAGGCATATATATTTATTACTAAAAGTGAGATACATATACACACCCATATATATATTTTTAAAAGAAGATGTGATCTCTAAAAACATTTCAAGACGAACTTATAAACTATAGCACTTGCACTATTAATGCGCCATTAAGGACACATAAAAAATCGCTCTCATCGGTTGATTCAATGGGTAAATTAACAATGTAGTTTTATACATAGAATTCACTTACAGAGTGGTAACACCTCTCCGCCTGACACGACAATGCGATGACAATGACGCTACAATCAGCACACACCTTCAGTTCACATGTTCATTTCTATGAAAGAACTTATATCCTAATAGTATATTACACTAGTTACGTACGGCACGAACTGCCTTGCGAGACTGCTAAACGATTTAGAAAGTCGAGTTGAATACGTACATCCAATGCTGAGGGGAATTTTGCTAATGGAACTGGCACGTTGTATATTTCCGCTTAATATTGTCTCTGCTTCATGCCATCTCTCACTTTTTCTTGTGGACATTATATGTTTTGCAAATTGCCAATATTATATTATTATTCCCATTATTGAATTTATGACAAAAGGAAGAAGCTTTTTTTTATACGTTAATTATTACATATACATCAATATATACATATATAAATATACGTATATATATTATTTTCTATTAGGTTCATATTAATGATGTCTGTACTCTTAGAATTATTTGAATTATCAATTAAACCGATCATAAATATACCTGAAATTCAATACTAAATATCCCCTATAAACATACATACGTATTCGATTAATTGTCATCATTCTACAGTTTGATAGAGAAAAGAAATTATATGTATAATTCTTAAATTATTTATTATAGAAAAGAAATAAAAATAAAAATAAAACAAAAAATAAAAATATCATCTAACTTTTTAATTGAATAATAATAGTAATAATAATAAGTTAAAGTAATATTAGATTATATGATAAAGTCAATGATAGATTTGAAATAGCTAAAATTCAAGAAAATATACTATTTTATGTTTTCATGGCAATTAGCAAGTCTTTACTTACAGATATTAGTGCTTCATTTCCTGTACCCATAATTCCAAGGTTGGTATTTTTCATATATATATATATCTATATATATATATTTAAAATAAACTTCATTTTCTACCTGCCATATCAATGGCATTGTTAGTAAGAAGCGACTGTAAGACATCATCGCATGAATCAGCATGATGCTACTCACCAACTTACACGCCTTTCAGGGTCTGGGAATATTAAATGCGGTATACTACTCAGCCTCACCACCATAGAAAAAGTGGTAGAGGGGCTGAGAACAACCGTTCATTCACCTTTTCTTTTTGTCAATCAAATTAACACCTAATACTTTAATTATGTAATAATAATCAAATTGTATATGTAATACGTACGTCCTTTTCGCTTTCAGTACTTACAGTAACGCGCATGTGAGAGTGACAAGTACAACACGACATATGAGCGGACAATACTCGCAACAATATTGTACAATGGATCAGATTGACTTTGCTTTTTCCAGAGACTCTGGAAATAGAACTGTGGTTACGTTGGTATTAGTGGATCTGAATATCATTACTTTCGTGCGCATTCGTCGTTTTAATATTTCATTTGGGTTTGAACTCAGCAAAGTTAGCCATAACGTGGTTTACCTTCCATGATAGAAATCACTAAGGGTATTTGTTAACTGTGATATACATATATATATATATATATATATATATATACACATTACTATCAAAATACTAAAAAATTCAATCAGTCATCTAATTGATTATAGATTTAAATAAATAAAAAGTTACTTATTACTCTATCCAAAGTTCAACCCAGTAGTTCATTGTTCAAAATTGCTGTTAAAATGCTTAGAAAAAGATCTTCGTATAATATTTATAATAAATATACTTTTTTTAAATATATATAATTTTATGTAAAATATACTTACTGCTGTATTCCTCCATTTACTAATTACGAATAAGAAAATTGATATTGGCGGTTGAAAATTAAATACCAATGTGTTTCACGTAACAAACACCCTTATGACCAATTCGCACGATATGACAATGAAATGCGCGAAGCAGTGGATGTTGCATCATACAAGTACATAAGAGTATATGTTAAAACTTCTTAAGATTCACTATATATTTAACGCGTGCATAGTTATTCTTTTGCACTTGGCAAATATCAAAAGTACATGATCTAGCTATTTGATTTTTTCTTTTTCTAATTTTCTATTTTCTTTTATATTTTATAATTATTCTGACTATCATATATAGCAGTTATCGTGCTAATAATAATAATAATAATAGTAACAATAATCATAATAATAATAACAATAACAATAATAATAATAATAATAATAACAATATATATGTATATATATGTATGAGCTGTAAAATTATTTTAAAAATACACTACACCCTGCGCTAGAAATCACTCGGTGGTACAATAATATCAAATTTTTGATTCTCAAAACTGAAAATCTTCAGGTACAGAAATATAAAAAGACCACTGTACTTGTACGCTTATAAGTTACGACAGAAAGAGAGAGAAAGAGAGAGAGAGAGAGATAGATAGTGAGAGAAAAAGAGAGAGAGAGAGAGAGAGAGAGACAGAGATTATAAGTCTACTTATAATTTAAATTATCCTCAACGACTTAATAAAAGAAGCACACCACATTGGCAAGAGAGAAACTATAATAATTGATAGAATAAAAAAAAGAAAAAAAATTAAAGAACCGATGGTAGATACACATATATTATTACTTCTTTTTTTTTTTTAACAACAACAAGACTAATACGTTAATATAGTAATTGGTGAGAGATTGTATCAAACGTATAACATAGTAGTATCATATAGTTAAGAAAAAATGAAATAACTTTACATTAATAACGGCTGTACCAAACTGCGAATATACTTGTATTTGATTTAAAGATGCCAGTGGTGTGCTAGATTTGTTTTTCTTTTTTTTATTTCAAATTAGATTATTTCACATTGTACTCACCGTTGAAGACAATATTTCATGGGGACAGCAAGCCAGGAGAAAACTCTTGCAGACCTTCGAATCGGAGTATTTCACTTGAAATTTGTTATTTTCGCCTATAAAGAAAAAACAAAGATATAAAATTAGATGAAAAAATAAAAAAAAATTGTATTTGAATATTTTCCAAGTATTCTATGCGCATATATATATGTATGTGTATATATATATGTATGTGTGTGTTGATAAACGATCAATATGGCCCCATGTCCCCCATCTTGCGTCGATAATTAAATTTTATCATATGTTCACTCTTTAGGTTTATTCTTTAGAAATGAAATATTAATTGTGATAATTGGAGGAATAATTGATTAATTAATACCCACCGTTTCTACCTGTACCCATTAATTGATCGAGCATTGCTCGCATCTGGTCGTGAGCCGTCATTTTTTTAACTCAATATTACAACCTTCAAGTTCGCATAACGAATGAACTAACGAACAGAGAACATAGCCACGCCATCGAGTTCGACTTTCGAGATATCATCAAAATATATCGATCCTAAAAACACGAAGTATAAAATTTGATAGAGATTACCGACTCGCATTGAAAATTATTTTATCGAAATAACTTCTTTCGTACTAATTTCAATTTGATTAAAATAGTCGCGAAAATGAATTATTCAATTTTGAATTTAACTGTATTTGCATAGACGAATTTATTTCGAATATAAAAATAAATGATTGCAGAGATAAACGATAAATAAATATTCGTTTTTTAATATGTACACGCGCGTAAATGAAAGAAAGGGTTAACAATTAATGAAACAAAACGGCGTTCATTGTTAAATTTATTTTCCTATGAACTGAACTTCAATCGATTGTAAGTTGGTACACAGAGAGACTCTTGTATAGTATTATTCATTTGACTTACTTGCTAGCCTTTTATTCGAAGATCATGACGATCACAGCCGATCACACCCGATCATAGACGAGTTATTATTTTTTTAATTTACTTTTTAAATCATCACATAAGAAAATGTATTATAAATACATTTGTGATGACGGCGCAACGATTACCTCCAGTTGTCGCGAGATGGCGACACCAGTTTAGTTTTTTAACGAAAACAGCTGCTACGGTCTATCTTCTCAGTTTGGTTCTATGGCCATTAGTTGATATTCTTCCGTCACTCGTCTCACCGATTTATAATGAATACCGCCAAACATTTAAATTTTCGTAAAAGAAAGAAGAGAAAAGTAATTTAATTAACCGAAGAATATTCGAACAAATTATTAAATTAGTTAAATAAATGAGTAAAGTATTTAGAGAAAACGGAATTTGATTCGAAAAGATCGCACTATGTGTAATATTTGTATTCGAATCAGTCGATAAGGTAACGAGTACGCGCAATTGGTCGATATCATGCGTTGATAAATGAACGCTATAATTTTTCGAAATTTTTCATTCGATTGATCGAACGTGATCTTCTTCTTATCGGAATCTTTTGTTTTATGTCCGAAATTGCGCGCGAACAAAATTCAAATAAATTCGAATGATTTTTCATTTACGGAGCGATTTCGTTCGTAACACAGCATATTAGATTTTGATAAATTTCATTATAATAATTCGCGATTTTGATGGACGATAAAACAGCAATGACAAATCGAATAAACTGCGCGTTTTCTCGTTGGCACGGATAATAAGGGATTGAAAAAGAAAATAAATTTAAAAGAAAAAAGAAAACGCAGTGAGAAGAATAAAACTTACGCAACGATAGGTATGTTTTTGTTTATATATATATATATATAGGTCGATATCGAGGTTTTTTTAGTGGTCCTTTGAAAATTATATATAAATCCTGTCTTTGAATAATCGCAAAACGCAAACCAAATATTTGATATCATCGTAGGTAACTTGAAGAAAACGAAATAAAACAAAAAGAAAAAAAAAAGAAAATGAAAACGAGAAAAGAAAATGCAGAGGAACGGTCTCGTTATTTTTAAATACAATTATAATATCTGTATATATATATATCAGCAGTAGAAATTTCATTACTCTTCCGTCTTCCCTTTGTTTGTTTGTTTGTTTGTTTGCTTTTTTGTTTATTTCATTTTTTAGCTCTCTATTTATTCATTTTCTTGTCTTACGGCTTTGTAATTATTTTTTGTCTATGTTTGTTTGTTCACTAGACACGCGTATTGTGGAAACGTTGATATATCTCGTAAGAAAGTAGTATAATTTTGATACGTACTTTCTCTTGGGACACTGTACATTTCGCTGTACATATATAAAGTAACTAAGTAAGTAAAATTTGATAGAAATAAAATATAACGTGAGAAAGTTATTAAATACATATCCGTAATATAAACTCTCCCCTAACGACACTTTCTTAATTTTACGTTTGTTCGTTAGTTCGTTCAAGACTCGATTTTCCTTATTCATTTATTTATTTCTTTATTTTTATTTTATTTCTTTTTTTTTTCTCTCTTGCTTTATGTAAAGAAAATCGAATTCGTTTAAATAGAATTCCGCGTCCGCACAACATGCAAATGAATGATCGTCGTTTCGCCATCTTGGACAATATGGCCGATATCATATGGCCGATCGATCTAACGCACACACCTATAAG